TCCTGTGATGAGGCATATCAAGGTTTGTATTCCCTCCACAGAAGTAAGTCAACAGAGGAAGCCGGGTTATGACTGGATGTTTGCTAGGTTGGAATAGATTGAAAATAAAGTGCTAGATTAGTTGTGATTGAATGGCACTTGAGCTAACAAAACTTGGTGCATTAATTTCATAGGGCAGGTGATGTGGCCTTCAAATAGGCAAATATTCAAAACCAATTGCAAGATGTCCCGTCTCCTGGTTAGCAGTCACGTGGGCATGGTCAGTATGTGTCTTGGTGATTCTTCTCTTCTCTGCTGTACTATGACTTTTTCAATTCCTTTTCTGCTGAAAATTCCTAGGTGCCTAATATCTATGTCTGTGTATCTTAATGTACTTAACTGTATTATAAAGTAATGGTAAGGAGTGGTCAGTTCCCAGGGAGTAACACCAGCTCAGGAATGCAGATTGTGTGTAGCTTTTCTAAAATCTACTCTCAGTGATATCACACTGGCAACTTGAAATCAACCATGCACCAGTATTTATACCATAGAAATTGGTAAATATATAAACCAGGGCTTGCCCTTCCTCTTCTCAAAAGCTGATTGCTCAACATTTACCAGCACACCACTGGATATAATTGCAATGGGCATCCACCTTTGTTTCTTTCAGGTACATCCACTGGGAGATGATCATTTAGATAAAAATGTCCTGACCTTGTTTCAAAGGTCTTACAAGGCTGCTTTTTGTACTCCCAATCCTTGTAACAATGTCTTCCCTTGACTAAAGAAGGCTCCAGGCTTATGGGGTGCTGGTCTAAGGTAGGCACCTTCTGACTCTTAGCAGTTTCCCACTGTACCTCTTACTTGTCAAAGCAATTGTGTGTGTGTAGGGGTGGCTCCCAGTTAGTGGGAAGGATTTCATAAGGTCACTTACACTAAGTTCTAGTATTGACGTGCTTATATATTAACTCTCCTCAGACAATTTGTTTTTATACTCTAGGGTGACAAGTAGTGAGATTTCTGGCAATGTTTCAAGATAAAGGAGGAATTATTTGGGAGCAAGAAGCATTGCCAAAATTTCTTAAATGCCCTCAGGTAGCCCTGCTAATTCTGCAAATCCAAGAGAAAAAAAATGCTGACAAATGTCATAGTGATGACATTGATGATGATGGTAGTGGTGATGTGATGGTTTCTGAACTCATCAGTCACTGTCCTTCCTGTTAATGTCCAAGGAGGTTTCTCTGAATTTAGTAACTACCTTCAGATAGGGGAGATAATGAATAAAACCCAACCAGAATCTCTGTGATCCAATTATATGAAAGCACTTATTGAAAGATTTATTACCTGCATTTTGGCAAAGCCAATGGCATGGGCTTGATTCTCTTTTCTTGTTTTGCAAATATACCAGTGATGATCTTTAGGAAGGTAACTCAGGTGTTTGGTGTACCAGGAGTGCTCCACTTTTCAAACCAGCCCACAGTTACTTACCTCTGTAACTTCCACTTCTCTAAAAGTTGACTTCTGGAAGCAGTAAGCAGGATACACTGCACATGCCTAACCAGCCAGTATCTTAAGGAAACACACACTGCAACCTCCAGAAATATAATCTGGGGAGCTACTATGTGGTGTTCTTGGGGGCAGGCCCAGATTGGTTTTCTTCTTGTAGGCTTCCAGGGGAGTCTGGTAGCTTCTGAAGGTTCTGAGATTCTCCTGTGATTTTTTATTCTCTGGCATTTATTTCTTATGAGGCTCTTCTATGACTCATATGCTCATAAATTGTCTTTAATGTTAATGTCTGTTTTTCCAATAACTCAACTGACTCACACAGAAAAGCAAATAGGCATGAAGTTTGTAGAACAGTCTATTGCAGAGGAAATTGATTGGATTTTAAGAAAGCAGAACTTAGGGAAAGTTCTGGGACCTTAATTTCAGATCCACGGCATAATAGTCAATATTTACTGTTAAATCCAAAGTGTGGTTAAGAAATTTATACTCTCTGGATAAATATTTTTCATTTGTATATGTCTATCTTTTAAAAAGTTGAGCTATATGCCAATTTTCAAAGAAATCAGATTAACCCTAGATTCTCCTATAAAATGAACTTTTCTATTTCTGTGATATTTTAGTTTACAAGGCAGATTATATCATTTGATTCTCACAAAACCCTATGAACTGTTATTTTTATCATTCTTAATATATAAGCATATAGAAAGTTTACAAGGATTTAGAGACTTTCAAAAGTTTCACAAGAGAATTAATATATAAGCCCAAGTCTACAGAAACTGAAGTGTAGTCTTAAAAACAATCAGACAAAATAAAAACCCAAATCCTATACTACGCTTTTTTGTAGACCTACTTTAGGGCAAAAATGGCATAGTCACTAAGATAGACCAATATTTAGTATAAAAAAAAGATTTTACAAGTACAAAGAAAGTTCCACCTGGTACTTTATTGGCCAACTTGGAATACCATTATCTACAACTATCCTAAAGAGGTAGTATTTTGGGCAAGGCGATTTGATAACAAGAGCTTCAAGAACTTTCCTTCTTATAAGTTACTGCTTCTTTCCCAGAGAGTGTCATTTATATATTTGCAAAACAAAAAAGAGTATCAAGCAAGACTCTATCAAATCTCACTTTGAACTCTTTTACCCAACTAAAGACACAGAAATTCTGGAAGTTCTTGTTATCAAAAGTATCTCATGAAATACTATTCCTTTGGGATGGTTCTAGATGATGATGTACCAAAAATTAGTATTGCTCAAAAGGTACTGAATAGAACTTTCTTGCACTGATAAACCTTTTTTTTTTTTTTTTTTTTTTACTAAACATTAGTCTATCTTAGTGACTGTGACCTTTTGTACATAAGAGAAAATCAAACCCTAGCTGTTAAAGTCAGGTCATTTATAGTGTACCTACCTATATTCTAGTCTATGACAAATTTGGAAAGATTAGATGAATCCTTGCTAATAAAAATATTTCTGTAAATTCTAGAACCCTATATGGATGAGACAGCAATCTTCAGAAAAAATAGAGGTCAATAAACTTTTTCAGATATGAAAAGAGTATCTAAAATATGCTTGTATTTAGTCTGGGCTTAAAGATACAGAAGAATTAATGAGAGCTGATTTGTTATATCACCCTATCTCATCACTCATCAAATTTTAAACACGAATTTGAATTGCATTTTTCTAAACTTTTAAAATCACACAAACTTAATTTTAGGTGGTTGTATCGCCTTATTAACTCCAGCACTTTAGTATTTTCCATTTTGGGGACAAATATACTGATGGAACATAACAAATTTTTCTGTTCAAATTTTTTATTCCTTGAATTTTTCCAGGTAACATAGGAATTTCATGCAAAAATTCAAGAATTTGCAATCTTCAGTATAAATGGGTTTAACTTAGTATCTTCCCTTAAACAAGAGCCTTCTGATTGTGAATAAGATGCTCATGGGGCAAGACCCTGGTAGGCTGGACTGCCTGAGCAGCTGTCCATAGGGAAAGTGGCTCTGTGTTAGAAAACTCATCTTTTTGTGGGGGCAACTGGAACAAGATAAAAGGGGCAAGACTAGCCCTGAAAATTCAAGGCTTAAGCACTCAAAAGGTCCCTAGTACATGATCTCCTTGGAGTGGAAACCAGAAAGGAAATGAGGCAGTGCCTAGCAAGGAGGGCAAAAGAGAGTGGAACCTGCCACCAAAAGGTTGGTTCAGGAGCTACATCCATGAGCAGTGAGCCTGTCAGTGTGACTTCCTTAATGTGTGTCCTAGAGTGACCTGAAGAATAAAGAACGGTGATTTACAGGAAGGGCTACCATTCTTTTAGCACTAAAAAGTATATGCTGTTTGTATATTTCACTCTCTTCCAAGTATTGGGGTTCTTGGGAAACCAAATCTGTTGCAATATCATGTTGCCAGTGAGGCAGGAGCCTACACAGAAAGTGGTCTTTCTACTCCAGAGATCAGACAGGCTCATCCGCCTTTCCCGCTGGAAACGTTTTGAGTTCCTGTTTTCTGACACTACTGTTTCCAATCCTCACCTGTTCATTCAGATTCACTGACACTACTGGTGAAGCACTAGCTTCTTTCAGTTTCAACTGCAATCTTGACTCAGACTATACTTGACACTGGTCCTTCCAGTTTTGACCTAGAAAATCTTGGCCTCTTTGGCAACTCCCAGCTGACTGTACTCAAGAGAGATGAACATTACCCCCAACAACAGCTGTTATAACAATGAACATTTGCTGAGTAATGCCATGGGCCAGGCACACCAATGAATTTTATGTTCATAAATACGTTTAATACTCAACAAATCTCTTAGATAGGTATTCATACTTAGCACTATTTTATAGATGAGGAAGCCAATGTAAGTAACTTCCACAAGGCTATGCAATTAGTAAGCAAGGAAGCCAGGATTCAAGCCTTTGTCACGTTGACTCTAAAGCTTGGTAACAGAAGTCTCCAGAAGTGACCTTCCTTCTACCTTTTAAGAGTATATCACAGTGCACTCCTACAGACTGCACCCGAGGGACAGCGAGCAGTTACAACACTTAGTTGGAAGCTAGCCTTTACATGAGCTGGAGAAAATACCTATAGAAAAAGCCAGTGAGAAGTCAGAGAACTCGCTTAAGAAAGGCAAACAGTCCACAATGTACGTGGTGAGCTTAGGCAAAATGCTTTACTACCCTGACTTATGACTCTAGCTACCCTGGGAATGGGGCCAAGAATTACCACCACTCCACCCACAGGGGGCACCCTACAGCAAAGATAGCCAGCCACTCTTTAGTGATGGCTTGTGATTTCTCACACTGTGAGAGGTTTCTTAATGGAAAAACAAATAATTGAGTGTTTCTATAATTTTCTGTGTGACTCAGATTCAGTGAAGCAATAAACATTTGGTGTTGATTTTAGCACACAAATAACATTGAAAAGTAGCTGTAAGTCCTGTTTCATTGAGCCGAACTTCTATTTTCTCATTTATGACTCAACATTTAAAAAAAAAAAAATGAACAAAAGTAGATGGGACTGGAAATTGTTTGATTTAATGTGTATCAAGAAGAAAATGAAAAAAATCACAGATACTTCCCCAAATCTCATTTCAACCGTTTGGATTCTCGCCTTTTAGGTATTTTACAGAACTGCTAACAAGTTGTCAATAATTACTTTATTGGGCATCTGCAAGGTACACAGCATTGTATATAGCTTGAAAATGACAAATTACTTTTGTTCTATTCTGTTCAGGCTTCCTTAAGCTCCATGGTTTTGCTCATCATTACCATCGTGCTCCAGAGAGTGTGCTGTTAGTACTTGTACTGTAGCACTTACCATGATGTATGACAAATACGAATTGACAATGCATTCCTCCACCATAATTTGAACTCCTTAAAGATGGAATCCATGTATTTTTCATCTCTGCAGCCTTGATGAGAAATGCAAGTTTGTCAGATGAAGAAGCAATTGAATGAGGAGTGTTTCACCCAAGTTACTCCTTCTAACTCTAGCCTGCTCTTAGGTATAAGTGCTGATGCTGAGAGCATGGAAAGCTGACATGCAAAAGGCACAATGGAAAGGTGGAGACCACAGACATGGCTGGTCCACAGACTAGAAAATCAGCTCCATAAATAAAGAAGAGTTGGTTGATTTCTGCTAGGGCCTGAGAACATCACAGAACCACAGAAAAATCTTCAAGCCAGAGATGGGGTTCAGTAACCAAATTCTACCTCATGGACCCAAATAGCTCACTGAAAATAAACCAGTAATCCAGGACTGGTGGGGCTTCCAGCCCAGCGCAGCCAGTTCCAGTGAGCCAGAGGCACAACCAACACTGTTGTGCATAGTATGAGATCTCAGCTACCTAACATTAAGGATGTTTTTGGTTTAATTATCCCTTCCCAGATGTCCAAAAAGACCACACGAGACTAAATAAACAGACACCAGACAACTGGATGTAAGACAGAAGATATTTCCAAATGATTCTTGAAAAGCAGTTTGGATGCCTTGGTCATTGCACAATGCTTAGGGGCTCAACCTGCACTGGGTACCCTCTGTGAGCCCTGATGAATACAAATATTACTGAGGGAAAGAGATTACTGCCATTCAGTAAGCATCATGTTGTATGAATGCTGATGATTTCATTACACATGCCAATTCTGATTGGTTATTCAGGACGTGGAATCTGTTTGATACATGAAAAACATCCTGCTTATGGTCTAGAGCAGCAGCCCACACTTTCATATCTGACATCCCAGGTGTGTGGCAGGGGGCATTGGCTCCCGATCGGTTCCCAGCTGGCAATGAGACTAGCAACAGCAAGCCTGTCACCTGCCTGTACCTCAGGTTCTTCATAAACTGTGGGATGGCAAGACTGTCACTCTGGTCACTTCTAAGATTCCTTTTCTTTCATCTAGCAGCTTTCTTGACCCACTGGACCCAAAGCAAACCCTCATTCTTCATTTACTCAAAGAAAAGTATTAGTAAACATGGCTTAGGATCCTTGAGCAAATTGATGCACTCAGTTTATCAGCCTAGATAAGTCTGATGCTCACATCCCTAGATATGCATCACACAGTAACCAGGATGCCAGGATGTTGGCTGCTATTCCACTTTGGGGCAAAGCAACAATTTTTTTCTGCAAAGTGTAACTCATTACACTTATGTTTCTCACCCTCCATCCCCAAAGAAATGGTTAACACATTATTCTCTATTTGTTCCCTTTCTGGACCCTCAATTTTTTGCTTTGTGGATTATGCCTCCAAGATCAGTCTCCTTATGGCCCTTCCTACTTCCCAGCAACCCTTCAGAGAACTGCAGAAAAATTCAGACGATCCCATCCTAGCTGTGGAAGGCAAAGCAAAATTTGTTCCTCTTGTTATCATTTTTAGTGCAAAATTTAAATTGAAAATGCTTGATCAAAAAATTGGGAATTAGCTCTCCAATTTAGCGTTCATTAATAAATATGCTTCATAGCCTCAAGAAAAATAAGCTAATAGCTAAATAGCTAAATAGCTAAAAATAAGCTAAGAAATAATGATTCTTAAATATTTGATACACGTCTTTTTGCTAACATAGCCAGACTTTTTTATTTTATGTCTTTTTCCTACATAGTCATACCAAAATAATCATTTAAGGAAAGCGTTTTACTAAATTAGGTACTTGATACATTAGAAAGATCTTGTATGTTGCAGAATGTGAATTTTCATATTGCCCTTAACATGTAATTCTTTGAGCTCAATTATCAGCCAGTGATTCAATTTAAGTCAAGTTAATCCAGGCTTGGCTAAATACGTATGTCTTTGGATCTACAGTGCCTACTAAGAGCAGGGCTGTCACCCTGCATTCTCTTTACAGCTATGAGCACTATTTACTCCATTCAAACTTGCATTCAAACTGTGTTATGCCACATTAAGCATAAAATGCTTATCATTAACCTAAAAGAAAAAATACAGCAAAAATTCAATTTTGGAAGAAAATCAAAACCCAACAGATCCTTGAGAACCACAGAAAGTTAAGAGATATAGCAGAGTCCATTTCCAAAATAATGTTATTTCAACAAACAAGCATCATCTGCACTTCATCCAAGGTCACCTGAGTTAGGGGTAAAGAGAAGTGAAGGTTAAGGAACTGGCCAAGGATATTTAGATCTGTTTTGTCTTAAATCTCAAAGAGTAATGTGAAGAACAAAATTCCTTTCTCATTTTCTCAGGAACCCTTTAGTTTGAAAATAATCCTCCTTCTAGTTCTTCTTTCAGCTGTAATTTCTACCGATCACAAGTTAACCCTAGAATGTTTCAGTTGTTTTACTTTGTACATCAGAGTGAATGACTGAAGTTATTAGTGGCTTGGAAGTTTGCACCTATAACTGCAAGTATACAGCTGGTTACTAAATCTCATTCTGAGCATTTTATGTCAAAGGTAAATTATATCATCTTCCTTTGCAAAAACAGACAAACACCCTCAACACAAGTCAAAAAAATAATGACTGACAATGAATAGAAATCTATGGTAAAGACAAAATATTCCAGCTTCCTCTATTAAAAAATCAAATTCACTGTGACAATGTTAGTTTTTGAGTTCTATAATTCTCCAGAATTGTCAAAAGTAACCTTGTAGCCAATCCGCTGGAAGACACTCAAAACAACCTGAAATAGGCTACCCATAGTGCCAAAAGCAGTGTCAAAGATCAGAGAGATGGTGCCACCCAGGCCGACAGCAATGTCCTTACAAACAACTGGGATTGCTCCCATGGTGTACACAGGGAAAGTGGCCACATCCAGAAGGACTCGGACAGGGATGCCCAGAATGCGGCAAACAGCTTTCAGTAGACAACAAAGGATCCGGAGAACAGCCCTGATGATTTTCCCCACGACCTTGAGCACCTTCCAGGGTATGCTCACCAGCTCTTCTCCGATGGCTGCGAAGTACGAAACAGTGGCAGAGCCCAGATGGTAAAGGGAGCTTCCTGTGCTGTTAATCACCTGCTTGGTAACATACCACAGCAAACAGCCAATGTTCTTCAGGATAGCTACCACAAGGTAATACATTAATTGGAGAAGTTTGATGAAAGGGGTAGCGATGAAACCCAGGAATTTCCCCAGAAAGCTGCTACTTTCCTCAGGTGGCTCTGGAGCCAACAGGGCATCTGTCTTGCTCCGGGTGCTGGAGAGGGGAATAGAGCTCCCTTGGGACTGCACCTTTCGCTCCTCGTCCTGGACTTGGTTGACCATTTCTAAGATTTTTTTCATTTTCTCTGTGTCTTGCTCGGTCTCCCCACAGTTGTTGTGAAACAGCTGAGGGTTCGATGGCAGCAGTTTCTCCAGGTCTTTCACCATCACGTCTTCTATGATGTCACTGTCCTGCGTATGCTTGACAAAGCCCATGGCCCAGCCTCCTCCCGGGACAGCGCAACAGGCCGCAAGCCACACAAACTCAGGCACTGTCACTCTGTCTTTAACTCTGTGGTCTGAAGGCACTGCGCCAGTGAGTAGATACAGATCTTCCCCATCGCCACAGTGAGGAACCAAGGCCCTGTCCATTAGGCTGTTCAGATTCATATACCACCGCTCCTGGAAGGACTGGGTCATTGGAGCTGAATTTGTGAGAGCAAATGCGGCCATCTGGGGATCGTTGTTAAGGGGGAGCGGGTACAGCTGTCCTCTTTGATAGTCTGAATCAAGGTAATCTGTATTCAAGGCTTGTTTGCTTCCCAGATTGTTCATGGAGGCGATGGCCTCAGCTTCATTAATCACCTCCACAAAGCTGCTGTTGGGGTCATCGATCTGAAAGAAGAGAACACATGTTGTGATGCATCCCTGTTCATGGCAGAGAGGGAGCACTTGAATCATTCAGCCAAGACTCTAAGGAAGTCCTTGCTACTCTACTATTATACGTGTATGCATGTGTGCATGCATATGTGTGTACATATGAGTGCACACATATATACACATACATACACATGTATGGTACAGGAGATTGAGCCCAGGGCCTTTGCACTGAGCTATGTCTTGAGTTCTTTTCATGTTTTATCTTGATACAAGGTCTTGCTAAGTTGCCACATTGCTCAAGTCAGGCTTGAACTTGCAATTCTCCTGCCTCCACCTCCCACAGTGCTAGGATTACAGGCATGTACACCACACCAGCTTCTACTCTATCATTTCTAATGCTTGTGCTGGAAAGTATTTGGCTCTCTGATGCATACACTTCACCTGTGTCTCACAATCCTGGTGTCTGAAAACATCCTTTCTACTTTACTTCTTGTGTTTACCTTACTCACGATCTGCAGTAGCACCCGATCTTACACACTTAAACACACATGCACATGAACACACACATGCACATGAGAGTTGTGACTTTTTTTTTTTTGCTGTTGGGGATTGAACCCAAAGTATCACGGATACTAAGCACGTGTTCAACCACTGACCTACACTGCCCAGCCTACAACATGCTTTCTAACTCTCTTCTACTTCTATGAGCTTCATTGTTCTCATTGTGTATTTTTCAGTAAATTTAAAGTATCTGTAAAAAAATCAGAACTTCAGTTCAAAGAATCAGCCAGCAATGTTCACTGCAATTTAATTCACAGCATCTTAATGAACGTTCCTACATTTTGGGATACATGAAAAACAATTCTAGTGTAGCATTTAAATCAAATGGGATAATATGTAGAATTTGGCATTGGACATTAGACAAAGTTCAAACTCAAATTAGACTAATTACTGTTTAAAGTTAATCTCTCCATGACAGTTACTGTCTTGCTCAGTCTAGATATGTGCTACATACCATAATATGTATATGATTGGAAATATATAATTAGGATTTTTATAAAGAATCTTTTTAAATTGACTCTCCACATGCCACAGACTGAAACTAGATCCATGCCTATCACCATGAACTGTACTGAAATCAAAATGGATCAAAGACCTAAATATTAAAACAGAAACACTAAATCTATGGGAAGACAAGATAGGTAGAAGTCTTGGAGACATAAGGGTAGGCAAAGAATTCATGAACAAAACTCAAACTGCACAGGAAACACTTCAAAGAATCAACAACTGGGACCTTATTAAAAAGTTTTTGCACTTCAAAAGAAATCACCAACAGAGTGAAAAGAAAACCCACAGAATGGGAAAAAATTTTAACCAGCAATCCCTCAGACAAAGGATTTATCCAAAACATATAAAGAATTAAAAAACATCAGGTCCCCCAAATTCAAAGATCCTCTCCAAAAATGGATCTGAGATGAACACACAGTTCTCACATGAAAATATACAAATGGCAAATAAATACATGAAGTAATGTTCACCATCACTAGTCATTTGAGAAATGCAAATTAAAACAGCACTGAGATTTCATCTCACTCCAGAAAGAATAGCTGCCATCAAGAAACCAACCGATAACAAATGTTGGCAAGGCTGCAGGGGAAAAAGGAACACTGTTCCACTGTTGGTGGGAATGTAGACTGGTGCAGCCACTATGGAAATCAGTATGGAGATTCCTCAGAAGACTAGGATTGGAAGTTCCATTCAATCCAGCTATTCCCCTCCTGGGTATTTTCCCAGAAAAACTGAAAAGGTCATGTCACAGTGATATATGTGTATCCATGTTTATAGCAGCACAATTTGTAATAGCTAAATCTTGGAAACAACCAAAATGCCCATCAACCGCAGACTGGATGAAAAAGATGTATTTTTATACAATAGAATATTACTCAGCTATAAAAATATATGATTTTGAGGCCTTTATAGGTAACTGGAAGCAAATGGAGACTATCCTCATAAGTGAAATAAATAAGAATCATATTTATAAATATCACATTGCCTCTCTGGTATAAAAAGTAATGAAAGCTGTAGAAGTAATGGGATCTGAGATGTGTAATAGCTGTGGTGAAAAGGAGGGAGAAAGACAGTGCTCTAAGGATATCGCTGCAAGTATGTTTAAGTGTGTAAGATAGATAACCGTATTACTAAGTTTTTGTTGGATCATTGAACAGGAATGGTTTGCATTCTCATTGTTTGATTGTCCACTTTCTATGCCTTAATTTTGTGACTTGAACAATATTTCTAAGATGGCAATATGTAATTTATCAACTAGTGATTTCTTAGGGTTAATCTTTTTGAAATTCTGTATTATTTCTACACTTTTTTCTTTTTCTTTAAATAAAGTAAAAGAAAAAAGAATCTTTAGTTCAATAGTATAACACATATACACTTTTCTAATATTAAAGAACAAAAGGGCTCAAGATTAATCTAGGAACATGTTTTTTTGGCTGGAATGTCAATTTCTTGACAACAGGGGCCATATATATGCTATATAAGACCCAGCCCAAGGTCTGACATGTACTAAAAGCTCAGGATACTCTCATTCATCTTTGGGCCCTAAGATGGTTATAAAGGCATTATTTATAAAAGCAGGAGTTTGGACAAGCCCATATTTTCAGGAAAAAGAAAAGTTAAATAATATCACAGCCATCAAAGAAATATTTCAAACCTATTAAAAGCATTTGTAATTATGAATAGTTTGCAATGTTGGCCAAATACATATTATGATGTTGAAATCAAAAGGTGGGATATAAAATTAAATGATCACAATGAATTTGAAAAACCTAAATGTGTGCCACAAAAACTATGGAAGGAGATATACAGATGAACACTCATTGATTGCTCAGTCTAGATATGTGCTACATACCTACTGCTCCAGCCATGCACCATACCTAGTGATTGCTGGGGATGCAGCTGTTATTTTTTTCATTCATCTTCCTGTTTTCCTTTCTATATCTATGCTACCCACGTCAACCCATACATTATTTATAATGTGTAACTTTCCAAAGGAAACAAGATGATTAATACACGTAAATTACTGTTACTTGATTTCATGGTATTGGTGCTATTCACTAAAAGCATAGTATTGTGTGGTAACTCCTGTCTGGGGCAGCCTGGCCCTGCATTTCTCCAGTTCTGCAGCGGCAAGTGTAGGCATTCCATGCATGTATGTGTGGTACAATAAGGTAGTGAATAAGCAATTTGGTTGGAGACAGGAACAGCTGTTGGAGGCTGATGAAATACTCTATAGGTTGGTACTACTTCACTCCATCCCTTCCCCTAGTCTAAGAAGCAGTAATGACCTAGATACTCTCCACTCCCAACACATATTCTGTAGGACAGAGGAAGAAGCTTACTCATGTTTGCAAAGATTTCATCTCTGTTGTCCTATAGCTGAAAGACACACCCACAGGAAATATTGGCTTCATCCCTGAATTACTGGATCAAGATGTGGTAGAACCAATATCCAGAGTCCTGGGTCAAAGATTGTAAAATGTAACTTTCTTCATGGTTACTAGGGCATATTTGTCTGTGTTTAACTCAGTGAAGTATCTTCAGCCTTTCTAGAGAAGCATGGAGATGGATTCTGAATTGGCATCCCTGTGGCACAGCACAGACAGCATGCTAGTGTGTCTTCAATTCAAGAGCCATTTGGGGCTGAACAGTAGCCATGGGAACAGATGGCAGGCCTGGGACATGAGCAGGGAATAAGGACTCTTCAACAAAAAAGGAACAAAAGAGAGAAAGGTAGAAGGAGAAAAAGTAAAACAAGGGGTAAAGGAGAGAAAGAAAAGGGGAAGGGAGGAAACAGTACTCTGCTCTTAAGCAGAAACCAAAGTTGACTTCCCGTGCCTGATTCACTCTGTGTTCCTTAAACTGCAGAGCACGAGCTCCCAGGCACTGCCAGGGGAGTTTGGGCTGGATGCCTCTGCACCCTCTCAGGCCACTTGGGCTCATGGGGCTCCACACTTCTGCTCCAGCCATGCACCTGGCAATCAGGTAAACACTCTCTGCCCACACTTCACAGATACCTGCAAAATTAGCCATGATGGAACTGAGGTGGCTGGAAAAGCCAAGGCCCAATTCCATACTGTGCTCTGTGTATTCCTCTGTTCCGGTTCTTTCTAGGCAAAGTCCTAATAAACTACATGCCCCAAATATGCTGACAGCAGACAACACATCTCCCCTCCCGCTCCTCTGCCTTCTCAGCACTCCACACCCATGCTCATGTTATAGTTTCATGACATGACAGAATATAGTGTTTGAAATAGAGATTGAGTGCCTGGATACTCTACTTAATATCGATAGGGGGTTGCTGGACCAACTTTTAAGTTGACAGTTTTTTGAGCTATCAATTATGTGTTTTCAGTATGACCTTATCTGTATACGATTTTGTTATCTTCACGCATGTTAGAGTCCCACTCCCTAGGATCCTGCATATTGCACTGGTTGTTGATTTCTTACATATTTCTGATGCCTAAACTCTTACCTTCTGTTCTGCTCAAACACAATTATAAACAAAATTACATATTTTATCCAACTTGTTTATGTGACTGCCGTGGAAGGAGCCGTGGAAGGAAAGAAATTCCACATCTGCTCTGACACTTGACCAGATGTTTTCTCCAATGTCTCAGGCTTAAAAAATTTCTCCTAAAACATGATTTGTATTCTTTGATAAGTCATTATGGGTTTATTATTCCAAAACTTACCTACTTCACCTAACTGTCTGGTTTTAAATTTAGGTCACTTCCTGGAAATGTGCCTGAAATGAACAGTGCTTTTCAGCACCTATACTGATGGTGTCAACAGCAACAGGCTGACACCCTCACGAGCAGGAGGCTATAAGAACTCTTGCTCTTCCTAGACCACACTGCCTAAGTCAAAAACAATCTGATTCCATTTTATTCTTTTTTTGTTGTTTGTGGCACTGAGGCTTGAACTCAGGTCAGCGTTTATGGTAG